TCGTACGTACCCAGTACGTCTAGAAATGGACGTTTTCAGTACGTCTTAAAAAGGCCCCGGACGTTCAGACCTAAATTGGACTTGAAATGGACGTCCCCAAGACGTCGAGTGCTATATGAGAAGTAGTACCTATTTTGTGTAAATGAGCCCAAAAGTTATAGGATGTATGATGAATTGAAATTCATGATACAGGACGTGGAAGAAAATTCTGAATTAAGAAAAATCTCATCACTAATCTGCGATTGAGGTCTATAAAAATAACAAGTTTCCATCGTTGAAGTTGGTACCTCTTGATTGGTGAAAGTATTGAATAGGAATATTCTTAGATATATTTATGAACACGAAAAAATGGATATATGTATACAGGGTGTTTCATAATTGAATGCTGATCCTAAAGGACGATAATCCTTGAATGATGACAAGAAAAATTCTTCATGTGAACATAGATCCGTAACAGCTTCGTTTCTGAGATACAGGATGTTGAAATTTAACAAAAAAATCAGTTATTCCCCAATATCTCTGAAACCGCTATGGCTTTTTCTTTCAATTTTGGTACATGCCAAGTATGCATAGAAATACATTTTTTCCATAATGAAGGATTTCTTAATTTCCATCAGTGGCGTCCCTGTTAACATACCCTGTCATATTTTTCATCAAAATAATGATACGCCACTGTCTTTTTTCCAAATAAATATTATTTTTCTAATTATCCTTTATCTTCTCATAAAAATGGTCTCCTGTCTTTTTTTCGTCCAGCGAACGGTTTTTGAGTTAGAAAATAAAATGCATTCATTTGCTTGTCCCTATTCGATTTTTATACTTAGTCTTAATTTCACAATTGTGGTAACCAAAAGATCTAAGCAATATTTTTATAATTTTATGGTAACTATTTTCAAGTTTTTGTATGCATACTTGGCATGTACCAAAATTGAAGAAAAAAGCCAGAGCGGTTTCAGAGATATTGGGGAATAACTGATTTTTTTGTTAAATTTCAACATCCTGTATCTCAGAGACGAAGCTGTTACGGACCTATGTTCACATGAAGAATTTTTCTTGAAATCATCCAAGGATTATCGCCCTTTGGGATCAGCATTCAATTATGAAACACCCTGTATATAAAAAAATACATTGAGAATTCGCATTCTCCATGTGATGAAAATATTAATTCTTTCTCGGTTTATTCAACAGAAAATAACTACTTTCCTGGCTATATGCCACGACGAATATTGAATTACATCTATTGAACACACACGATAAGAACTTGAAAACAAAAACAAAAAAACAACTACTTTCCTGGCTATTCGCCACGTCGAACATTGAATTATATCTGTTGAATATCAAAATCAAAATCCTCTGAAATTGAGAATTGACATTATCTCTCAAGTCGAATAGAATAATATGATGTAATATGATATGAAAATATAAATAACTTACCAATTAGTTCAGTATTGAAATAACAGGAGTATTTCAACAAATCATAATAATTCTCAGATGTCAGTCCGTTATAGTTTTAGTATTATATTATAGGGAGATGAAAATTGTGTATATCATGAAAGAATATCTGGACTTCAGGTTACTGATGAGGATATGATATCCGAAATGAGTTTTACTCTAGTTAAGTCATATTACCTGTTTGTGAGAGATATAATTCCCATATCACTGATAGGTACGATTTTTTTGGAAGTTCCAAGATTATCAAGATCAGAGTTCATACAAATATACTTCTCCTATACATTTCGATTTTCATTTCAATACTGAACATATATTGGTAAGTTATTTATATTTTTATATCATAATACATCATATTATTCTATTCGAACTTGGTCTATTCTCAATTTCAGAGGATTTTGATTTTTCATGCTCTCTTTTTGGATATTCAACAGATATAATTCAATGTTCGACGTGGCAAATAGCCAGGAAAGTATTTTGTTTCTGTTGAATATTCAGAATGATATCATAATATATGCATATCTTTATATGAAGAAGAATGCAAATTCTTTACTTCAGATTTTGTTTTCAAGTTCTTATCGTGTGTGTTCAATAGATGTAATTCAATATTCGTCGTGGCATATAGCCAGGAAAGTAGTTGTTTTCTGTTGAATAAACCGAGAGAGAATTAATATTTTCATCACATGGAGAATGCGAATTCTCAATGTATTTTTTGATCTCGCACAGTTCTATTGGAGGTTAGCGCACATATTTCATGAACGCAAAACAATATCAACTTACTTCTGTCTCGCAGATCTACTTCATGACATAGGACTTTTATCTGTGATTCGCATAATTTACTGATACTCAAGAAACCATCTTCTACTTGGCATATCAGATCAATGATCGAGTTCGTATCAAGATTTCCAACATTTCCGATGACATTTTCTATCATCGACGTTAGATTATCTGTCAAACCAATTTCTGGAATTGTGCCATTTATACCACTAATTACTCCTACCGCGCCATCTAACCATTGACTCTCAACACCACCAACACAACAACTCATAAAAAACGCACAATAAACTATTAGTTTGAGCATCGTATCATAACAAAAATGAGGACTGCTATGAAACTGCAAAATTGAATGTGAACTAAAGAATAACTTGATTGAATACCAAAACCTAGGTAGGTATTTCTATTTAATCCATTTGTTGATGGGGTGATGTGAGTAAAATCTTGACTAAATAGAGGTGATGATACTTCATTGTTTCCGCTATTGAATAAACAAAGATGTGTGCTTGTTGAGAATTACAGATTACAGATAATCGTACCCACACAGCACGAAATATTCAGCAAATATCACCACAATATTACAATAATGTTGCAGTTGCATTTGGAATGTTGCAGAAATCTCATTTGTACATTGCAATTTCAATATACAAAAATGTTGCTGTAACGTCTAATAGTAAGTAAGTAAGTAATCTTTATTGGCCATATAAAAATACAAAGTACAGATGGCAGGTCATAGATGCACAAGCAAATTACATAGTAGTAGTTAGTATAGGTAAATTTATAAAAAATTGTGAGCTTAAACTAGGTACTATAGTAATTACATATGTAATAAAATTAAAAAATGAAACATTGACAAATTACAACACTGGGATAAAAAAAAACATTTATAAATCTATGTGAGAAATGTATTCTTCATTGGAATAAAAACCGTTTTGTGTGAGGAAGTATTTTACCTTTGATTTAAAAATGTTGTAGCTACCCAAGTTTCTTAGATTCTCTGGTAAAGCATTAAAAAGTGTTATGCAGTTGAAAATGGGAGATTTTTTGAAAGTTGAAGTATTATATTTAGCCATAGACATTTCATTGCATCTATTATTGTATCTATGAAGACTGTTCTACAGATGAAACTTTTCAGGATGTAGCTTTATGTGAGTTACACATTTTAAGATATAGATGCGAGTGAATGTAAGAATTTTCTTCTCCTGGAAAGTCTGTTTTCACGGAATTCCATATCAAACATAAGACGAATGATTCTTTTTTGAGCAATAAATACTCTGTGCCATCCTGAGGCGGAGCCCCAAGTAATGACGTTATATGCTAGGTGACTATATACAAAGCTGAAGTACAGTTTCATTAGCCCCTCTTGATCTAGATAGGAGTTCATTTGAAAAATAGCATAGAATGACATATTGAGATTGGAACAGACATGGTTTAAGTGGGTGTCAAAGCTTAGATTGACGTCCAAGTAAGTATACCTAGTAGTTTGACATGATTATCATGTCTTAAATGGTGCGTAGTAAAGTAGAGTAAATGCTTCCTCATGTGAACATTTATACAAAGGGTTTTACTTTTATTAAGAATAAGGTCATTCCTTTGACACCAGCTTTCGATGTCACTTATAGTTTGACCTATCTTTCACTTGGAGTTCCTCAGGGGTTTTTCCAGCTAGGGTAATTGTGGTGGCGTCTGCAAATATTATCACTTTGCCTCTGGTGATGTAGTCTGGTAAGTCATTGATATAGAGCAAAAAAATTAAGGGTCCCAGGACAGAGCCCTGTGGAACTCCAAGAGAAATGGGATGTTTCTTGGAAAGTTCGTTTTCAATTTTGACATTTATTTTCCTGTTATGTAAGTAAGATTCAATCTATCTCAGTGATCTGTCTCTGATTCCCAATGCGTATAGTTTCTCCAAAACTTTACTGAAATTGAGGCTGTCAAAGGCCTTGGAGAGGTCGAACAGGAGAGATACAACATAGCTTCCTGCATCAAGTTCTTGATAAATTAAGTTCAACATTTCATAACTCGCGGTTTCAATAGATTTTATTTTCTAAAGCTATACTGATCGACTGCAAACAACAAAATTAATGAAATGCGTACTTGATGTCGCGGACATTTCGCTGCAAATACGAGCGGGAGATGTTTTTTGTACATCTTACGCGGATTTTAGTTGCAAAATTACTTCCATATAGTACTTACTTCATAGTTACTACCCAGTGTTTGCTGGGTACAGCCAACTCGAATCTACCATTTTGAAACTTATGCAGATTTGTAAAAATTTTCCATTCATTTGAGCCCAGGAAATCTGTTAGCAGAACGATTTTCGGGCCAGTCAGACTTGCCAGAATGGTTCGGTATATGTCTTGTTTTGGTGAAGGAGAGCAGTATACCTCAACTTGTGCAGATTGGTTAAAATTCTTCCGTTTTTGGCAATGGTTATTGATGTTGAATAGTAATAAATGAGAACCAATCTGAGATGGCAGAAACGCGATTTTAATTATGTAGTGACATGTTCTGTCTTATAACTGGAGTGCAAAACTTGTACAAATCGGAACCCTTTCTTGACATCATCTCCCCTACTATCAAGCAGGGGTACAAACTTGAACGGTGGAAATTTGCTTTTACAGACGTCTAATCACAGATTCAGAAGTTTCCACACCCTGTATGATGAACATCAATTCATCGTACAAACTGCCGAATTGATAATACGATTCATAACTAAAATCAGGCGATAACCTCTCACCCAACTGTACTTATATCGTTAAATAATTGTATAAATCGTCATTGAAACAATTGTAATTAGAATTACTTCTTCAGTGATTTCCTGTAAGGTGAATATCAATCTTAGATATCCACAAATGATTTGAATTTGATATTGTGTGATAACATAGGTGAGTGTATCGAACTAATGGTTTTTTAATCGTTTTTTCAACATGAACCCGCGATTAATTCAATAATTGTTTCACTATGCAGAAAATATCAATTGAACTGTGGGTTGTTTTCATCTCTTGTAGCCATTTTGGAGTTAGATATTCAAACCTTGATTAGGTTAATATACTGAGAAAATAATACTGGATACCCACTTGATCACACTTCGCGATAGAGATCAGTCAAAGAACTTTATACACACAGATATTCTGAATACTGCAACGGAACATGAGCAACTTGCATCTAGAATGTAGCCTACATTATCACAAAACAGTGTTTCACCACAGGTTCAATTAACAAACTTTGTTTCAACCAAGTTTCAACACAAAATTGCATAGCATGTTAAAATTGTTAGAGAACATTTTATTTTATCACAAGCTTTGTAAACCAGGAGTTATTCCGAAGAAGTGAGGTCAGTATAAGTGGACGGTGTGGTGTACTTGAGGTACTTGTACTGTGGTGGAGTTTTTCTATCTCTTGGAACGCACGAAAGGAAATTCCTATAATGTTCGAAGAACATCGTGGAGATGTGGTCATAATAGTTTCTATAGTCCTGTGAAAACGTGCTCACTCACATTCAACATACCTTTTATATTATTGTTTTACTCACCTATTTTTCTCCGTCCTGCAACTCGTGCTTCTCAGAAAGACCAATGTGTCCCTCTTATATGCAGCAATGAGCTGCCACCATGTTAGGCTTGGTTCGAGCACAATGATATACCATTAAATGAAAGTAAAAGAAAAGTCAAACTTCTGAAAATGTTACCTACTCCTGAAAATTCAAATGACCAGGTTAATTTCCTGGGAGTTGTATTAGATACGATGTTGCAATGGTCAGAACACACAAATATATATTGTGTGGAAAACTCTCAAGAACAGTGTACGCTATCAGGAAAATTTGTTATTCACTTGGCGAATCAGCAGCTGCACGCACAGCATATTTTGCAGTCTTCCACTCTGTTTCAACATATGAAGCCCTAATACTGCAGACCTATATGTGAGGAATTAAAGATCATGACCAAATTTTCGACCATTCTGTACCATAACCTATTGTACGTAGAAAAAAATGAGCAACTTTAAGCACAATCCGAATTTCACAGACAAAACACAAGAAACAAATCTATGCTATTGCAACCATACACTAGATTACGTCGTACTCGTCGTAGGCATTCAGAGGTGTTGAATAGTACAGTGCATATTACCAACCAAATTTCGTGATCTGTCATTTTCCAAATTTTCAATAAAACTAAAAACATTCTGACAGAGAACTGCATAAATATAATATACTCATTTGACGAATATTTCAAGTTAATCAAAAACAAAGACATCTTAGCAAAAACTAGGTAAACCCATGTACAATATGATATTCTGATTTTTTTTACATTCTTATATACTTGGACTATTGTCTTATTTTACTTTGACTATTGACCTATTTTACTTTGACTATTGTCATAATTTCACTTTGGCATCGCGACTTTGGCTATTGTCGTATTTTAATTGGACTTTATATATAATTATATTGTAGTATTTTTCACTTCGACGTGTTTCATAATATATTGAAATATTTCTGAACTAAATAAATTCAATTCAATTTCATTATAGTCGAAAATTGATCTATTCTATAAAATATCTCTAATGAAATCATAAGTATAATGACTGTCCAAAACAAATACGTGAATTATATCCTTTTTGAAATTCAATCTGCGCCAACAAATGGCACGTGGCCTGGAGCAAGGGATATATGTAAAAACTCTGTAGTTTTGGGAAAATGGGATTGAAGGTTAACATACTCCCATTTTTTTACATATATTCTCATGAAAAGATTCTATATGATATGATATTTCACAATCTTGTTAACGCATCTCGAGAAACAATCAAATTTTCAGTTTCAAGCAGGAAAATCTTGAATATTGTATATTTGTATAAATATCTGAATGAATGATAGACGTGCTTAAACTTGCCACTTCTTCTTTGTCAGGCAAAACTTTCATACACCAGAATTATTTTGTTCAATAGAAATCATAACACATATAGATCAAAATGAATTGAAACAAAAATGTGCATCGACACGAAATCAAAAATATGAATATAACTGTTTCAAAAACAAGCCCTCATACAAATAAACCGGAAAGATTATCAATTTCATTGTTCGCATGTTAATATACGTGTACAATTCATGAGCCATCAGGAAAGAAATACAAAACAAATATTTGAAAGACAGTAACTGAAAACTGCTCATGTAGGTACTTGACCATATTTACCCCCTGACACGTCCAGCTGTGCTCCTCCGCAAAAAGAAAGCTACTTCCCAGCGAGTACAAAAACATCTCAGAGATGTTAAAAGTACGAGATTTCGAGACATTGAACCTCCACTGCGATGTTCTGTTCACACATGAATAGACCTATTATAAACAGCCAATGTCCGCCGCAGGCGGCAATTATCGAGATGTCCTTGATATGTCACAAAACTACTTTCTCCCTAGTTCTTTTTAAAGCCTTTTCATGGACACAACAGAACATTTTCAACGGGTCTTGCGCATATTAAATCGCTGTAAAAAAACCATTTTCGAGGTAATTTCCTGAAGCCTTTTGTCAAAATGAACTTTTGCATTAGGATTCCATTTCCCTTGAATGAAAAAATGCATTAAAAATAGATTGAACATAAAAATATTTTCTTGATATGAAATTACCTTCTTAATCGGTTTCTGAGTAGTGCTTACTACACACAGACATATAATTGGAAATAGGTTTCCCAATTTTTGAAATGTTCTCCACAATGCATAATTTTGCAACTGCGGAGATGCTGTGTATTGATGAATTCGTACTTTTATATATTGATTACACTGAGGCACCGAACAACACATCTTGCATCTGATGGTCATTATTACAAACCAAATAAGTCTTCTAACACAATAAACTTCACCAAATTCCTTTCTGTTCGTTAGCAGCGTGATGTAAGCGTGACACGCTGCAAACGCGAATGCCAATTGCGTACAAGAAGAACAAAATCGAAAACAAATCAGAATTCATCATATTTTGTGACGTAAGCATGAGACGTTGTGGTGGGGCAAACAAAGAAAGGGCACAAAAGAACAAAAACAATACTTTCAATATCCTTCAAGACCTCTTTGGTCAGTGCATATTACGTCTCAAAATAACATCTTCATGCCAACATTTTCAAAACATCCCAGGGATGTTTGTGCTCGCTGGGTTATTGTTTTTGAATGACTGCAACTTCCACCTCAACAATAATACTCCGATAATAGATCACAACCTGAAATAACCAAAATACAGTGTGTCCCACTTACCATGCTCACCATGGGTATCTTTTTAACGGTGAGAGATACGAGGTCGGTTAAATGACACCAAATGTGGAGTTTGTCAAGGCCAACCATAATGTGAAAAAATATTTTGGTAAAATCTATTCGTTTTTGTTTTATACGCAAAAAACAGATTTTGGTCATTTTCATGTCTCCTCCGTAACTTCTTTATTTATGAAATTATTCAAATAGGAATTTCACATTCTCAGCAGTTTTTCAAAGTGATTTCGAAAAAATTATGAAATTTATGCCAACTATTCTAGAATTTGAGATATCAGCACCAACTTCAGTTTTTCAAATGTAGGTCGTAGCTCACTATGACTTAGTTACAAATAACTTTTTCTTCTCTAACAGATGATATGTCGCAGTAATAGTTTTGTGTTGATAACAACGGAGTTATCGTCATTTATACAAAAGCAAAGAGTTATTTGGAAGCCGCCATCTTGAATTTATTAATTTTAATAAAAAAATCATGATCTCCGACCTCAAAAACCCCCACTAATCAATTTTGAATGGAATTGGACCAAATCTTGTCCGCCATCTTGGAGCAGCCATTTTTTTTTAATTTCAACAAAAATTTCATAACTCCGATTAACTTAAAATTTGACAGGTGTTCATAATTACGGTGACAATACATTATGGAATTTTTTGTTGAAATTAAAAAAATGGCTGCTCCAAGATGGCGGACAAGATTTGGTCCGATTCAATTCAAAATTGGTTAGTGGGGGTTTTTGAGGTCGGAGATCATGATTTTTTTATAAAAATTTATAAATTCAAGATGGCGGCTTCCGAATACCTCTTTGCTTTTGTATAAATGACGATAACTCCGTTGGTATCAACACAAAACTATTACTGCGACATATCATCTGTAAGAAAGAAAAAAAAGGTTTTTGTAACTAAGTTATAGTGAGCTATGACCTACATTTGAAAAACTGAAGTTGGTGCTGATATCTCAAATTCTAGAAGAGTTGGTATAATTTTCATATTCTTTTCGAAATCACTTTGAAAAACTGTCATGAGAATGTGAAATTCCTATTTGAATATTTTCATAAATAAAGAAGTTACAGAGGAGACATGAAAATGATCAAAATCTGTTTTTTGCGTATAAAACAAAAACGAATAGATTTTATCAAAATATTTTTTCACATTATAGTTGGCCTTGACAAACTCCACATTTGGTGTCATTTAACCGACCTCGTATCTATCACCGTTGAAAAGATACCCAAGGTAAGCATGGTAAGTGGGACACACTGTATAATTGAAATATTGTTCATCAATGTTCTTCATATTGTTTTTCAGGACTGCCCGGAAATGCGATTCATTGCAGAATCAGTCTCTATCATATTGATATTTCTTCACAATTCTCTCCAAGACTGCAGATCATCAGCTGGTTTCACGACCTGTAGTAATGAATACTTACGAAGAAACAGTCCTATACGAATCAATGATTACAAGAACATCCTAGAGTTCAAAAAAACTTCCTTGGAAGAAATACCAACAGGTTCTTTCAAATTACTACCAGAACTCACGATGCTGTTCATCAGCAACAGCGATGTGAAATATTTAGAAGAAGGTTCCTTCGATGGACTTTATAACCTCAGAAAACTTTCGTTGTATGGTAACAAGTTGAGCATTATCACGAATGGGGTATTCAGACACTGTAGGAAACTTGAGACTCTGGACTTGGGGATGAACAAGATTGAAGAAATACAAGCAGACTCTTTCAATGATCTGGCTAACCTGAAGGACCTGAATTTGGGGTTCAATAATTTACGAACTGTGCCTTCGAGTCTGAATATCTTGAGCCTAAGATCTCTTAGGATATTGCACTTGAATAACAATCAACTGGAAACTATCCAACCCAACAGTTTCAATAACTTGAATAGTTTGGAAATTCTCAATCTGAGTGATAACAAAATTAGCAGTCTTTCTGGAAACGCGTTCACGGGTCTTATAACTCTACTGGAATTGAACTTGGGATCAAACGATTTGAGAAGCTTAGATCCTCAAAATTTGACCCAAAATTTGAGTAGATTAAAAACCATCAAATTGTCCATAAATTCTTTCGATTGTGATCGTTTGAGAAACATTATTGAAATGTTCGAAAAAAAAGGAGTGAAGGTGGCAAAAGGCCATTCAAAATCCAAAGATACTATTAATGGAATTGGATGTTCAAAAACCTAAATACCTATAGTGATATGACGGATTTTAAATGCTTTCAATCCAAAGAATGTTTCGGAGGTGTTTCTAGATAGGTACTATAAACCTGTGGTACAGACTCATAATCCGAGCTCTCATTCATTTATTTATCGAAAGATCCTCCAAATTAGAAATTTACAACTAATAATAAGATTAGGCCTCAGAAAAAAAATCGATATATCGATATATCGAATAACTATATATAATTTCAAGAAAATCGATATATCTATATACACTCACCGGCAAAATAAACCGGCCACCAAAAAATCTGCCCAAATTGTTCAGCCTGTAACTTTTTTAATCCTTGTCCGATTTTGGTGAAATTTAGATCAAATCGTAGATTGATGTTCCGGAATGTTAGCCTGGATATTAGTTTTCCTGAAAAGCTGATGACTTGTTCATTATACAGGGAAAAACCAAAGTTACTCTTTCGCCCTATACTTCTCAACGCCCTGTGGCAAAATTACGTGATTGAATATTGCTTCATTATACTTCGGATAAAAGTGTGATCCCTTCTCAACACAAAAGTTTTTGTTTCACGTCAATATCTTATTTTTAAAAGAAGATACGAGTGTTTTAAGGAAGTATGGTGTTTTTTAACTTTTTTTTACCAATAATCAGAACTTACATGAACTTATTGATTAACAACTTCCACCTTACTTTCTTAGCACTTACCGTAAAATCAACTACAAAAAACAAACAAGAAGCAGACCTGTAGTCAATAACGAGTATGCTCTCCACGATATTGAATTACAGCATTCAACCGCAGTGGCATCGAATTGATCAAATTACTCAAGTAGCCTTGAAGAATTGCCTAAAATCCTCCTTGAAGGGCGAATCGTAGCTCTTGAAGAGTATCTGACAAAGCTGGGCGAAGGCGAATGAGCCTCTAGAGGTCATCCCTAAGATAGGTAGATAGGTTCTGAATTATTGTTCTTGAAAATTAAAAAAATCTATACTCTCTGGAAACACTTGTATATTCTCTCAAAAAAGAGATATTGATGTTATTCAAGAACCGTTGTATGAAGAAGGAACAAAAGAGGATCACACTTCAATTTGAAACATGATGAAGCATTGAAGCAGCAGGTTGGAGAATGGTTCTGAATTATTGTAAATTAAGTTTTTAAAAATCCATACTCTCTTGAAACACTTGTATCTTCCTTTAAAAAGTGGTTATCGACGTGAATAAAAAATCATCATGTAGAGAAGAGATCACTCTTCAATCTAAAACATATAATGAAGCTAAGTAAAACCACTCACCTTTCCCACAGGGCGTTAAGAAGTTAAGGGTGAAAAAGTAACTTTTGTTTTTCCTTGTATAATGATCGAGTCATCAGATTTTCTTAGGAACTAAGATTCAGGCTGACATTTGGACCAAAATCGGACCAGAATTGAAAAAGTTACAGAGCAAACAATTTGGCTAAATTATTTGGTGGCCGGTTTTTTTTTGCCGGTGAGTGTAGTTATCGATATATCGATAATTATCGATAGCTCTCGATATATCGATAACACTCGATATATCGATAACTATCGAAATATCGATATATTGATAACCATCGAAAAACCGATCGTTATATAAGTATTATGAAGTTATCCATATATATCGATAACAATCAATAATTTCTCAACATATCGGTAACAATAAACTCATTTTAATTGTGTGACTCTTAGAGGCTTTCGTGATATCCAGACAAAAGTAATAATGCCGTACAACAACACAATTTCATGAACAATAAAACGACAGAACTATCTCGAATATTCAGAACATCGTGTGATATATCGATATGTTCGATATATCGACATTTCGATATATATCGATATATTGATTTACCGATATATCGATATTTATCGTATTTATCGATATATCACAAATTTATCGATAAATATATATCGATTTATTGATATGTCGAATTTATCGATATATTATATCGATTGATCGATATATATCGAACTTATCGATATGTTTTGACTTATCGATATGTGAAATCCAATATCGCCCAGCCCTAAATTAGATTCTTATTTTTCGTTTTTTAAATTATTTTGTTAGTGTAGCATTATTTTGGAGAATAGGATTAATGTTGAGGTGGTTTATCAGAGAATTCATGATCGTTTCAACACTTTTGAAATAAATTCTATTGAAAAAAGATTGATGATGTCATTTCCGAAAAAAAAATGGACGTTTCAAAATATCCAAATGTTTCAAATTTCAGAATAACTGAACATATAATGGAGAAACGAGAGTTGTACCAATGTCATGTGAACTGTGTTACAACAATAATGGTTAATAATATGTATATTTTATCTCATTGAAATAATATAGATTCATTACTTTATTACCTTATGATTAATGATTAATGATATTAATGATTTTATTCATGAAAATTGATAATGTATTGGACTTCTTACCTGACTTAGAAGTAAACTGTAGGACTGCAATTTCTTAGATTATTCCATTCACACCCGGCTGGACCTATGAAATGTCATGTACTCGTGTTGTTAGGGTATCCATGATGGATATCCATAGTATATCCATATGTAATTGTGCTATCTGGTAACACATAACACAAGTGACCTTACCCGGAACATCACCACACTACGCCAACATCACAACACGCATAAAACACGGGCTGATATATGCATCAACCGATGAGTTTAGAGAACCTGGTAGCGATTTTACTAAATATAAACTATTGCAGCACAAGACACGCCCCCTACTACGGCATTGCAAAATATAATCGAGCCCAGCACAATCCTGCAAAATCTAATCTTTGACAGCACAACGTAGCTGATTCATATAAATAAATCGATTGAAAAAGTAGCACATATCACGTTATATCTCATCTTCAAAGTACTTTACTTAGGCAAAACTCAGAGACTATTTATCCTCAACGAACTAACCTATCCCTGATTGCAATATTTTTGAGGAAGGAAAACCGAATGGAGTGTAGAAACACATTGATTAATAATATATTTCAAAAGTTGAGTTCTTCAACAAAATTGAATAAAATGAGACTGTTTATCCTAAACGCACTAACCTATTTGACTTCAAATATTTTATGAAAAAGGAAAACCAGAATGAAGTAAAAAAACATTGGTGAAAAAAAAAAGTTGCAAAAAAAAGTTCGAGTTCACAGCGATTCGAACCATGAACCTTCAGACTGAGAGTCGACAGCGCTAACCAGTAGACCATTTTCGCACCAGATAGTCAAGAAGCTATCTGGGACAGCCCTGTACTGATGAGCCAAGAGCTCGAAACCGGTCTGCAGGTAGTCAGCGTTCCTGAACCACTTAAGCGCAGCTCAGCGTTTAGGAAGGAAACACTTGCGATTTTATTCGTTTATACGAACTATCGCCTAGATTTCGGGAGGATGTAATGCAATGTTCTGCGTGGCATATAGCCAGGAAAGTGGTTGTTTTTCTCTCGTTATCTACCATTGTCGTTCATTTTATGAACTAGTATGTGGTAATGACTTTGAGTTTCTCTTTGTGAAAAAAAAATCGATTTCAATTCCATTAATTATTGGTTGACCTAGAGATCTTCCTCTGTAGAAGTTACAGCGATGAAACTTCGTACCTATGCATTCGATGTGTTCCTCTGTTGAATAACTCTTTCACTGGTTATATCAACTCCATAGATTTTGATACAGGGTGAATCGAAAAATCAAAAATATCAAAATTCGCCATTGAATAACTAACACCCTATATGAGATCTTGCGTGCAAATTCCGTATTGGGGTATTTCAGCTATACCTGAATCGAATAGGCTAGTCACTATTTCGAAAAAAATTGCCTTATACTCGTTTTTGAAATCTTGACCCTTTCAACCATGATGAAAATAGACTGGTGTAACCACTTGTCAATTATATCTTTCCAAAACGTGTAGACCGCGAAACACCGTAGCAAGGCCGCACCGGATTGACTGTAGATGGCGTAGGGAACATCGTGCCACATATACTTCACAGATATGATGAAAATTTCACGTCTTTTTCATTGAATCAATCACTTTTTCTCAATGTTTTCAAATTACGAATTAATATACGTAAATGTAAACAACAAAACAAAACAACCAGTAGCAAGATCACTTCGGGAACAGCGTCAGCTAGCGTTAGTTTTGCGCGGCCTTACTACGGTGATAGAATTCGACATAATCAAGTAGGCCAGAGGTCTACAAAAATTTCTAGGGTTTTGTAAGAGGGAGCTATTTCACCATACATATATCCACCTTTCTTTCTTATGGAATTTTTGTTTTTGAAAATCGGTCGACGAGTTCCACATTAGGAGGGTGATGCGGGTTGAAATCGCACACACTGTATGTGTTGTACAGGGTGATTCACCATAAATGTCCCCCCCTCTAGCTCACTTATTTTTGAACCGATTGCAGAATTTCAAATATCACCTAAAATAATTTTCGATAGTTTTTTTTTTCGCCACATCAGAAAATACGAGGTGCTCGGAACAAACGATCTACAGGGTACTATTCGATTTTTTTTAAACGGAACACCCTATCTTCCATTGTATTTTCAGATTCTCCCTGAAGAGCTGATTTCATCAATGTATCACACTTGGGGTCTAGCGAAAATTATTACAGAGATATAGGGTGTTCAAAATCGAGATTTTTCAACTTTGGGATTTTTTTGTGACGAAACTATTCATTATCGGTCAAAACGGCTTGAATGTCCGTATCTTAACTCTTGATTTACTATCTACTAACATTTAATAATTGGAACAGATACAGGGTGATCAAAATGTTTAATCTTGAACCACACACTGTATATGTTCCAATTATTTATTTATTTATTTATTTATTTATTTCAACGGTTACACCATTTTATAAAAAAAAAATTACAACAAAAATATGAATAATAATAGTAGGAGCAATGAAAATTACACTAATAGAAATGTAGCACTTATTATATTAATCAGGTATTCCTAATTGTTTTCACAACATTAGTTTTGAATTTACCTAGACTGCCACAGAATAGGTCACAATGATTTTGAAGAACAACATAATTCCTTTGTATCCTTGAAATAGGGTTATTGTTGCCATAATTCGTTGAGTGGAAAGTCAAGGAAAATAAAGGAGGATTAAGTGTCAGTAGATAGTAAATCAAAAGTTGAGATAGGGACATTGAAGCCGTTTTGACCAAAAATGAATAGTTTCGACACAAAATAATCCTAAAGTTGAAGAATCTCGATTTGGAACACCCTATATATCTCTGTAATCATTCCCGCTAGACCCCAAGTGTGATACATTGATGAAATAAGCTCTTCAGGGAGAATCTAAAAATACAATGAAATACAGGGTGTTCCATTTGAAAAAATCATGTAGTACTCTGTAGATCTTTTGTTCCGAGCGACCTGTATTTTCTGATTCAAGGGGAATTTTTTTTTTAAATCATTTCAGATGATTTTTCAAATTTTTAAATCGGTTCAAAAATAAGTGAGCTAGAAGGGGGGACATTTATGGTGAATCACCCTGTACCTAAAACTGAAGAAACAATAACTCACTTTAATACGTTTAAATCCCACGTCGGCGACCCGGGTTCAATGCATGCGATGGTCGGCTTTTTTTTAATTTTGTTTTCTCCAGTGATTTTCAGAAAAATATAACTTTTAGGAAGAAGGTACTTGTTATAAATATCGGGATCCCAATGATACCCCTCGTATAACCAATACATAGGAGGAAAAGAAAACAATATGGCTAATTATAAATATTGTATAATGCACTAAATAGTTCAAATGCATTCGACGAAAGGAAGAAAGCAAGGTTATATCTCAAAATGACTTACTAGCGGTAAAAATGATACAAAGAATCAAATTCAGAACATATAACTATGAAAAACGTTTGACAATTGCGTTTTTAATTTGTTTAAAAGTGTTAATGAACTAATTTTCAGCGAATTTCAGCTTCTAAAACAAAAAATTCGCGACACTATCCAGATCGGTTAGAGTTAGCAAGGTTCAAGGTCCAATTGAAAAGTTCAGCTAGATTTTAGAGAAACAAAATATATCTGCCCTATATCTCCTTGTCTTCAATGTTCTAATGCAAAATAATGACAATTTTATGTTGGCAACACTGGAAATGACCAGAAATAGAGAAGACCTTAAACTCTTCTTCTTCTTCCTTTCGATTTGAATGGCCTTAGCTACCTGAGCTATCTGGTCAGATCTTGAACTCAATAGGGATATTTCTTTCACATTCCCCGTTAAACCCGGTTAGAGTATTTCGGAGAAGGTGGTGGGAGTCAACTACGTCATAATGACGTCAACATTAACTATTTTTGAATTCCTATTTCTTTCACTCTACCCACTACAAAAGTTTACCCGTGTATCTCTTACTTCATCATCCACTCCATTCATTTTTAATTTGAATGTTCCCATCATATCCTCCATTTTTCACATTTATGAATGTAAAAAAATATTCAAGTTCAACTTTAACCACCTTTACCAACTATGGAGTTGGTAAACCCAAGGGCAGGTAGGGGAGGTGTACCCAAACGGAAATGACGTCACGGTTGAACACAATGAAATGGGATCATCAGCTTTAACCATGACGGGTAATGTGAATGAAATATCCCTAATATAGAAAAGGATCGAATTGCCTTCTTCTCCGTTTCTTCCCATTTTTTAGTGTTGCCAACATGAAACTTTTCTTAGTTTACGTTGGAACCCTGAAGTCAAGGACAGAATGGGAAGACATATTTTTCTCTATCAACGCCAGATGAAATTCTCTATTCAACCTCGATACACTCGACATAATTAATGTGAAACAAGCTTTAGTGCGTCTTGATGAACGTATCAAAATTTCAGTCGTAAGTACGGAAACAGTTAGTTCGGCTGACGGACATCGTCGATCTTCAATATCATCTTAACCAGCTGGGTGGCCAACAGCAATTGTTGCCTTTTCGACCTGAGAGATTCGATGACGTGCTGATCGCGCATGTTCATGTTACCGGTCGCCATGCAGTCGATGCCGAAGGCTGGATCGCCTGTGGCTGCTTGTTTGGCCTGGAAAATATGCAGCGAATTTGTTTCGGAACGAGCGTTTCGATTTCAAAATATCGACTGTTGGATCCTGAGGTTATCGATCTAGCTCAATCAATGAACATCATGTGTTCACCTTCAAAATAATCCTATAATGAGGGGTGTTTTCTTGAAACCTATATATTTTTGATTAACAGCTTCTTGTTTTTGATGTTAACAGCTTCTTCTTGGGGTTTGAATTCAGGTATAAATGTATTGTGAGTAATTACAAGGGAAAAAGTAGTAAAAAAGTTTTGCCCATGGACATGGGCTTTGCCAATTTAATGAACAATCTGTAAAGGGTTTGCATTGAGAGACATTGTAGCATGAAATTAGAAATGGAGAAACGTACCTCAACCAAATTAATACTTCATATTTATTGTATTTTCTATATTTTATGTTTAAAAAATATTTTTTTTAAATTTTGGTGTTGCACAGACCCAAAAGGTTCAAAAACCAAATCAAATATTGCAAAAATGTTACTTTGCGGTGCTGGACATGTGACGATTCTCAAAAAGCAAATGGTATCACACATTATCTGAAATCTCGAAAGAGTTTCCTAAAATCTGGCAAAGAATAGTTTTTATACCCGTCGGATTGATAGGTGATTCAAATCATGCCTGATGCATATGCAAACTAGCCATGTTTAATGCTGTAGTAATGTTTTTTTACCCCATTCTGAACTTTTGTGATGAACAAATATTCAACTGAACGTATATATGTACCTACATAAAAGGAGACTTATTTCATAGGAATACTATATGTATTTCGTTGATATATATGTACCTACTAACTTGATACCTCCATTAAGGACCTTCAGCCTCATCATTCAATATTTCGAGAAGAAATAATTTTCTAATCAATTTATCGTACC